ATAATTTTTTTTTTTTTTTTTTTTGCTATGCGCCTGTGGGTGTCAAATGGTATACAGTGTGTCCTCACTTGAACGAACTATATGGGGCGAAGCCGATTCGTTCCATTCGTCCGGCCCCAACAACCTTCTTATTTTTATTTTTTTTAAACATATGCCAGGACACATTAGTTTGTTTCTATGTTGTGTGGTGCTTCATTATAATATCTTTCATGCTCTTTTGGTGTCAATAATAATCTGAGATGCGAGAATCACCATCCCCCACCCCACTCACACCATCCCCCACCCCACTCACACCATCCTCCACACCACCCACACCATCCTCCACACCATCCCCCACACCACCCACACCATCCTCCACACCACCCACACCATCCTCCACACCACCCACACCATCCTCCACACCACCCACACCATCCTCCACACCACCCACACCATCCTCCACACCACCCACACCATCCTCAACACCACCCACACCATCCTCCACACCACCCACACCATCCTCCACACCACCCACACCATCCTCCACACCACCCACACCATCCTCCACACCACCCACACCCATCCCCCACACCACCCACACCATCCTCAACACCACCCACACCATCCTCCACACCACCCACACCATCCTCCACACCACCCACACCATCCTCCACACCACCCACACCATCCTCCACACCACCCACACCATCCTCCACACCACCCACACCATCCTCCACACCACCCACACCATCCTCCACACCACCCACACCATCCCCCACACCACACACACCATCCCCCACACCACCCACACCATCCCCCACACCACCCACACCATCCCCCACACCACCCACACCATCCCCCACACCACCCACACCATCCACCACACCACCCACACCATCCTCCACACCACCCACACCATCCACACCATCCCCCACACCACCTACACCATCCTCCACACCACCCACACCATCCTCCACACCATCCCCCACACCACCCACACCATCCCCCACATCACCCACACCATCCCCCACACCACCCACACCATCCTCCACACCACCCACACCATCCCCCACACCACTAACACCATTCGCCCCCACCACCTACACTCCCCACACCACTAACACCATTCGCCCCCACCACCCACACTCCCCACACCACCACCCACACACCCCACACCACCACCCACACACCCCACACCACCACCCACACCATCCCCCACACACCCCACACCACCACCCACACCATCCCCCACACCACCCACACCATCCCCCACACCCCCACACCATCCCCAACACCACTAACACCATTCGCCCCCACCACCCACACTCCCCACACCACCACCCACACACCCCACACCACCACCCACATCATCCCCCACACACCCCACACCACCCACATCATCCCCCCACACCCAACCACACCACCCAAACCATACCACACCACCCACACCGTGTATTGAAGCAGCAGGCTTGGAAGCGTCTCAACTCTCCCGACAAAAAAAAATGATGGGTTGACAGGTCTCCTCTCACACCTCCAGGACCCCCCCCCCACCCCCAGGTACCCGGCCATACACACCACAATGCCAAGTCAGCTATTGTTTTCTTCAGGAAACAATAAAACGTGTTAATGATTAATAATGTATATTAATACACGAAAATTAACATATTTTGGCATAAATATTTTACAGCTAAGATTGAGATTTATAATAGAGTATGAATGAGAGGTTTGGCAGCCATGCGTGGTCACCACCCTTCTCTCTCCACTTCCACCTCCCCTGACAACACCTTCCACCACTGACCCCACCTGCCTCCTTCCACCACCTGCCTCCCCCTGACACCGCCTGCCTCCCCTGACCCCACCTGCCTCCCCTGACCCCACCTGCCTCCCCTGACCCCACCTGCCTCCCCTGACCCCACCTACCTCCCCTGACCCCACCTGCCTCTCCTGACCCCACCTGCCTCCCCTGACCCCACCTGCCTCCCCTGACATCACCTGCCTCCCCTGACCCCACCTGCCTCCCCTGACCCCGCCTGCCTCCCCTGACCCCGCCTGCCTCCCCTGACACCGCCTGCCTCCCCTGACCCCACCTGCCACCCCTAACACCACCTGCCTCCCCTGACCCCACCTGCCTCCCCTGACACCGCCTGCCTCCCCTGACCCCACCTGCCTCCCCTGACACCACCTGCCTCTTTCCACCACCTGCCTCCCCTGACACCGCCTGCCTCCCCTGACCCCACCTGCCTCCCTTGACCCCACCTGCCTCCCCTGACACCACCTGCCTCCCCTGACACCACCTGCCTCCCCTGACCCCACCTGCCTCCCATGACACCGCCTGCCTCCCCTGACACCACCTGCCTCCCCTGACACCACCTGCCTCCCCTGACCCCACCTGCCTCCCATGACACCGCCTGCCTCCCCTGACACCACCTGCCTCCCCTGACACCACCTGCCTCCCCTGACACCACCTGCCTCCCCTGACACGCCTGCCTCCCCTGACACCACCTGCCTCCCCTGACACCACCACAAATGATGCCAGCCACCTCACCAAGGCCTAACGTTCACACGACCTGTGCTTGTTTTATTGGCCTCCTCAAAATTTATTCTAAATAGATATTAGTACAGTACGTAGGCTGTTAGAGGAGGGAGGGAGGGAGGGATCCAGGAAACCACCCCCCCAATGGCTCAGGGAGCGACCGGCCGGCCACACAATGCCAGCTGTTATCTACACCCCAATTGTATTAAAAATTCTGTGAAAAGGAAATGTGTTCAAACTGTTTAAAATATGTACTGTATATATTACAATTTTCACAATTATTATTGCTCCAATATGACATTTTTCTAATAAAAAGGCTATTTTCAGTGTAGATAATGCGATAATTATCATTAAATTGACTCTTGGCATCTGACAACGAGAGGAGAGTGAGTGGTCTCTGTGGTCAGGTGGAGGAAGGAGGGTGGGGGCGGGGGAGCATGTGTTGCCTCCTGACAACAACTCTCTCACCAATGCCCCCCTGACACCATTTTATCACCATTTTTATCACCATTTCTCCCTAGAAACTATGGGTAGGGATAATAAAACACTACATAACTGTTTACACTCTGGCGAATCATAGTTGATGACAGCCAGCTCTGACGCTCGGCCTCAGTGACCGCTTGGACGAACATTCCTCACTTAATCGAACATTTGTATGTTCCACTGAACATTTGGAACCGAATTCAATTTGTTCGGCTCTTCCGGGAATTCGATAGAGCGGGGTTCGTTAGTCTGAGGAAGCACTGTATAGCTATGCGCCATTTAAGGGTTAAGGACCGTCATATGCCTAACACTGTCGCCTCGTATCGTGCGCCGCTGGCGGAGCCGCTTCAGCTTGCCTTCGATATCAATGTTATGTCTGCGCTGTTTCGCAAGCTGTCTCATGCCTTGTTTCACCTCCGGCCTGCTCATGCGCCGCCTGAGCCATCCTGGTCTTTGGACAGAGTGCTCGCTTACCTTTCGTCTCCTCGTTTCGTTGTGGCCCCTTCGGTCCGGGATTGTTTCTCCAAGGCTCTTTTCTTGTTGGCATTAGCCTCTGGGGGTCGGGTAGGGGAGCTTCATGCTCTCCTCCAGCGCAGGGGTTTCTGCTCTTTTGGTCTTGGAGATTGTTTTGTTCGCTTGCAGCTGTCTCCTTTTCTGGTGAAGAATGAGACTGCTGCGTTCCAGAGGGGTCCATGGGTGGTTGATGCTTGGTTGGTCAGGCCGGGGGTGCATCATGTTTTGTGTCCAGTTGCGGTGCTTCGCCGTTATTTGCACGCCACGGCTTCTGTGTCCGGGGACGCGCTTTGGGTTGATCCAGTTTCCCTTCTTCCCTGTTCGCGGGTTCGGTTCTCCCAGGTTGTCCGCAGAGTTATCAAGTCCAGCCAGCCTGCGGTCTATCCCCGTGCCCATGACGCCCGTAAGTTCGCGGCTCTTGCTGCCGTCTTTGGGAATATGTCTTGTCTGATATTCGGGCGCGGGGTTTTTGGCGGTCGAACAGGGTCCTGGCTGCTTGTTACCTCGTGAATGTCACTGGGCCCCATCGGGCCTGTGTTGCTTTGTGTGGAGGTTGCAGCCAGTTGTCTCAACTTCGAGTTCAGGAGTGAGAGACCACCGCCTCCCGGGTAAGTCCCTCTTTTTCAATCTGTGGGTACTTAGCTCCAGGGAGTTGACGGGGCTCCCCCCAGAAAACCAGCGTTGAATGTAATGAAACGCCATTTTCTGGGTGAGTCCCGGAGGCTTCCCGGCATCCTTCCCTCCCTCCGGTCGGCAGTTTTTTCGCATTTTTGACATCCAGCCTCAGAACTGAGGTGTGGGTAACCGGCGTGAAGGGTCTGGGGCTCCCCCTTCCCCCTCCCAGGGAGGGGGGGAGCTGCGCAGACAGCGGCGCGGTGACGTGTGACGTTACACTAGTTTGCTTGTTTTCTGTTGGGGAGTTCTATCCACTAGTTCGGCTTTTGGTAGCAATTTTAACCAGAATAGGGGTTTGTTTTGAGGCGCTTACCTTTCTGAGTGCCTTTTCCGGTCGGTGGCAGACATAGAATGCTTCCAACCACACCGGGGTTTCTAAAGGCCATTGCTCCCTTGCCTCTCTGAAGGGGCCCGGTTTTGGCCGTGGTCCCCGGTAGGCCTAAGAACTCCATACACATGACTGATGCCAAAGTCTGACATTAGCATATCAGCCTGGCAAAGCTCCGGGGAGCCTCTGGGACTCACCCAGAAAATGGCGTTTAACTACATTCAATGCTGGTTTTTTGTTATTTTTTTATTTCTTGCACCTGGGTGTGTTGCAGGCTATAATTGCAGGAGCAGCTCAGGGGTTAAGGACCTGCCTGAAATGCTACGCGTACTAGTGGCTGTACAAGAATGTAACAACTCTTGTATGTATAAATAATAATACAAAAAAAATTGTTGAATCTGAATATCCTGGCAGGAAAAATTTAATTAAAACTCAGATGTTTCATATTAGTTTATTCATGTCTTTTAATGTTATTCTATAATTTTTCAGATCATCCATATGCCAGAAGATCTGCACTTGCCCTCCTGGCAACTAGTGCTTAAAATTTCTGGTAAGTGGCATACATTGTATGTGTCAATCAGTACCCAAGAGCTAAACACACACCAACACGCCTGTGGACATATTTACACCTTAGTGCAGCAAAAGTGTGCCTACTCAGAAATGTTGCATAAGCGGTTTGCGAACATTATGAAATAAATTAATAAATAATTTATTTATACCTAAGTCCAGTATAGTTAAGTTATTAGTCAATAATCATGCAGAATATGAATATTGAATTTTGAATATTTGTGTGTGATGTTTTATGGAAATCTATTAATTGCTTAACCACTCTGCAAAATAGAAATGTAATTGAATATTTATAAAGTAAAAAAATTCACAAATTTTATCAATAGATTCATATATTATTATTATTTTAATTTAATGACCGGAATGTGAATATTTTACGTCATGTGTCCTATGTCACATAATGAAGCAAGGTGCAACATGACCATTCAATGCTCCTAAATAAATTGTCCATATTTTCATCTGGAATGTCTGTAAATTATAGTGTGGGGAAGTCATGTTAAGGTTTTGCATCTTGTAGAATAATTCAATTTTCTTGGTAACTCACTTAAGAGTTTGTACATAAATTCAATGCTCCTAAAAATTTTCATGTATCAACCTTCCCATGAATAACATGCCATAAATTTTCCATGTATAGCAAACCATAAATTTTCCATGTATAACAAGCCATAAACTTTCAATGTATAACAAGCCATAAACTTTCAATGTATAACAAGCCATAAACTTTCAATGTATAACAAGCCATAAACTTTCAATGTATAACAAGCCATAAACTTTCAATGTATAACAAGTCATAAACTTTCCTTGTATAACAACCCATAAAGTTTTCATGTTTAACTAGTCATAAACTTTCCATGTATAACAAGCCATAAACTTTTCATGTTTAACTAGTCATAAACTTTCCATGTATAACAAGCCATATATGAGCTTATACATAGCATAAATATTAATATTGAGTATCTGTTCACTAGAATATTTTCATGTGTAGTATATCATATAAAGATGTTAAAAATATATTATTGTTTTGCAATACACAAGACTATACATGTAAGGTCAAACTGTCAATATTCATAATCATTAACAAAATTGAAAGTAATGATTAACTTTAGATGTTTAAATTTCATATAAAGTATATGTAAGTTATATCAGTGTTATACTCAGAGTTAATGCACAAGAGTTAAAGAGGCATTGCCTCAACATTTTGTGTTGTTGTGACGTGTAAGTCTTCTCTGCTCACAAAGATGAAAGTGTGTAAAGGAGAACTGCTATATCATTGTCCAGTATGTTTAAAAGACTTAAAAAAAAAGTCTTCTCTTAACTCTCACATGAGAACTCATACAGGAGAGAAGCCATATCAGTGTTTAGAATGTCAAAAGAATTTTTCTGATAAAGGTGCTTTAGTAATCCACTCGAGAGTTCATACAGGAGAAAAGCCATATCAGTGTTTAGTATGCTTTAAAGCCTTTTCAGTAAAATCCAGTTTAATATACCATGAAAGAGTTCATACAGGAGAAAAACCATATCAGTGTACAGAATGTCTAAAAAACTTTAAACAGAGGTCTGCATTAGACACACACATAAGAACTCATACTGGAGAAAAACCCTATCAGTGTACAGAATGTCCAAAAGGATTCAGTGAAAAGGGAAATCTAGTAAAACACATTCGAATTCATACAGGAGAAAAACCATTTCAGTGTTCAGAATGTTTAAGGGACTTTAAACAAAAAACTGCACTTGACACACACATGAGAACTCATACAGGAGATAAGCCACATAAATGCCCAGAATGTTCAAAATGCTTTTCTGATAAAGGTGCTTTAGTAACCCATATGAGAGTTCATACAGGTGAAAAGCCATATCAGTGTTCAGAATGTCCAAAATCCTTTTCAGTAAGATCAAATCTAGTAAATCATACAAGATTGCATACAGGGGAGAAACCATATCAGTGCTCAGAGTGTTCAAAAGGCTTTTATGAAAAAGCTAAACTAGTTAGCCATACAAGAATTCATACAGGAGAGAGACCATATCAATGTTCAGAATGTCTGAAAGACTTTACTCAAAAATCTGTTTTAGTAACACACATGAAAATTCATAATCGAGAAAAGCAATATCAGTGTTTACAATGTTTAAAAGTATTTTTTCATGCAGGCAGCTTAGCAAGACATATGCGAGTTCATACAGAAGAGAAACCTTATCAATGTTCGGTTTGTTTAAAAGCCTTTAAAGAAAAATCTAATTTGGTAAGACATGCAGCTATTCACACAGATGTAAAATCCTATCAGTGTCTAGTGTGTCTAAAGTCTTTTTCTGAGAGAGGGAAGCTAGGAAGGCATTCAAAGTGTCATACAGGAGAGACACCATATCAATGTTCTGTGTGTTTAAAAGACTTTAATGAAAAAGATAAGCTTGTTAGCCATTTAATAGGCCATACTGGAGAAAAACCATATCAGTGTTCAGAATGTTCAAAACACTTTTCATCCAAATTTACATTATTAAAACATAAGCGAATTCATAATATATAGAGAAATGTTGTGTGTTCACAATGCCATGAAGATTTTTTTGAAGATTTCATATTAAAATACTTGTGAGATCTTTAACCCTTTAACTGCGCAACGCGCCTGCAGGCCCAGGCTTAGGGTGTGCAACGCGCCCCCGGGTGTTTTTATTTTTCACGTTCCATTCAAAACTCCCTCGGCTACATGGGGTTCACATCAGCTTCCTCAGGGCTCTTGTAAACAGACCCCATCTTAAAAAAAAATCATGGTCCACATTGCCGGGTGTCAGAGCCTCAGTAGTGAGTGAGCAACCAAGGCTGGCGCTTGCAGCATGAGCGCACATCACTGCTGTTCAGCGTGTGACCGCAGCATTGCCTAATATTGTCAAAATATATATATAATCTGTTTTATTTAGCCATGATAGTATTATAGAAGAGCCCGAGTGTGATAATGACTGGGTACAATGTTCAAATATCAGTGATTCAATGCTGTTCACGATGTTCACAGTGTTAGCCACAGCACCACAGCATTATTTCGTCCATCTAGGAATCTTCAAACGACTTTTTAGGTTCCTTTTCAAAATAAACTTGTGGTCAATTATTCATTTACAGGTATTAGTGACCAGGATTGTGGTTATAATGAGCGTTGTGCGTAGGAAGGAGAAATTTTGGTGATGGAGGGAGGAAGGAAGAGAATTGAGGTAGCCTCACTGTGGGGCAGCCACTCTTGTTTTGCTCACCGTACTAGCTTCGTGATTCGCTATGGGGAACACACATGTACATGGGTATATACAGTGTGTGCAGAATAGTGTAATAACAGCACCAGGAGTATGTTGTGAGGAGCTATTTTGGTGAGGGAGGTGACGTCGTAATCGTGGCGTCGTCTGCTGTCTGCTGTGTGATTTGTCATGCAGTGTATGGTGGCCACTATACTGTTTGGACACAATACCGGCTTACTTGCATAGTTCTGGTAAATAAAACATGTAGATAGGTATATATAACATGTGTAAATAGGTATATATAACATGTGTAAATTGTGTAATAAATACAATAACAGTATGGTGGGAGGAGCAATGTTGGCGAGTAAGATGTTGGAGTGAGGGAGGACTGGCTGGGTGTGGCTGCTCACACTCGCGGTGTTCTGAGTGTGTTGATGGTGAATGTATATAGTGTGTGGCAGTGTAGAGTGTGTACATATTATTATAGTGTGGGTGTTGGTGGTGTTGTCGTCGTGTTCCTCCTTTACGGACAACCCAACCCACAACTCGGTAGAGTGCTTACACTTCACTAGGAGATCACACTAGGCGCTTCTGGCTCTTGGAGAGGGGCTCAACATCACACATTTAGGGGATGAGGCTCCAACACTTAGCCTCGTTGTCACATGCACACACCCACTCGAGCCCCTGTGACTCCCCACTCTCTCCTTATGTGATATGATCTCCTCAATCCCCTTTAACTTACTAGTTTTCGTCCTACCTTGTCCACAGCGGTGGTTCTTGGTTCTTTCTCTCTCTCTCTCTCTTCCTTTACTATTTCCTGGGAAGCCTCACTAGGACAAGGGCAAACACCAGCAAATTGGAATACATTTACTGGACAGAGCACATACACAATACATACACACATACAGTGGTACCTCGGAATGCGAGTGTCCCTGTATGCGAGTTTTTCGGAAGACGAGCAGTATTTACTCCAAAAATTTGTCTCGGAAGGCGAGGGTTACCTCGGGACGCGAGTTTGTTGATACGTGTACAGGCCGACCTAGCGGGTGGTGCTTCGGCGATCGTCGCCCCTCTGCCCCGCCGCCCCTCAGTTTACCATTGTCTCGCGCTCAGTGACTACCCCCACATCAATTCTTCTCGCGGATTTTCAGTGTTTTGTTGGATTTTTGGTGATTTGTCTATACAATTTGTTATTATATATCTCACCATGGGTCCCAAGAAAGCCAGTGGTAAGGATAAAGGCCAGAAAGCTCATGTGAGGATGACAATAGAGGAGAAACAAGAGATCATTCGGAAGCATGAGAACGGTACACGTGTTGTTGAACTTTGTAGGCAGTACAACAAAGCCACATCAACAATATGCACTATACTTAAGAAGAAAAATGAGATTATGGGTGCTAAAGTGGCAAAAGGAGTAAGAATAATGACGAAACAAAGACCACAAATACTGGAAGAAGTGGAAAAGTTGTTATTAATTTGGATACACGACAAGGAGTTGAGGGGTGATAATGTTTCGGAGGCCATCATCTGTGAGAAAGCCAGGGTGTTGCACGAAGACCTTCTAAAGAATACCCCTGCAACGAGTGATGCAGATACGAAAGAGTTTAAGGCAAGCAGGGGCTGGTTTGAAAAATTTAGAAAGAGAAGTGGTATCCATAGTGTTACAAGGCATGGGGAGGCAGCCAGCTCAGACAAACCAGCCGCTGGACGATTTATTGAGGAATTAAAAGAGTTTGCAGAGGCTGAGGGATACCTACCGCAACAAGTGTGTAATTGTGACGAAACAGGACTGTTTTGGAAAAGAATGCCTAAGAGGACATACATTACCAAGGAGGAAAAATCCTTGCCTGGACACAAACCTATGAAAGATAGGTTTACGCTTGTGCTGTGTTCAAATGCGAGTGGCGATTTGAAAATTAAACCCTTGCTAGTGTATCATTCTGAAAATCCAAGGGTTTTCAAACAGTATAAAGTGCAGAAAACCCATTTGTGTGTGATGTGGAAGTCTAATAAAAAAGCATGGGTGACTAGGCTTATTTTTTCGGAGTGGGTGAATGAAGTGGTGTGCCCTGCCATAGAAAAATATCTGCAGGAGAAACAATTGCCACTCAAAGCCGTGCTTCTCCTTGACAATGCTCCTGCTCATCCTCCAGGCTTGGAAGATGATTTGTTGCCTAGATACAATAAATTCCTCACAGTTAAATTCCTTCCTCCTAACACCACTCCTCTAATTCAGCCTATGGACCAGAAAATCATAGCGAATTTTAAGAAACTGTATGAAAGGGCACTTTTCCGGAAATGTTTTGAAGTGACTGAAGCCACAAACCTCACCCTCAAAGAGTTCTGGAGAGAGCATTTTAACATTTTTAGTGCTTTAAAACTTGTTGACAAAGCCTGGCAAGAAGTGACTCAAAGAACCCTGATCTCTGGCTGGAGAAAATTGTGGCCTGAATGTGTGAGAGAACTAGACTTTGAGGGGTTTGAGCCTATAAATGATGTGCCTATTGTTGAGGAAATTGTTAGTCTAGGCCAGCAAATGGGCTTGGAATTGGATGGTGATGATGTGGAGGAGTTGGTGGAAGAACACAACGAAGAACTGACCACCGAAGAACTCCTAGCCCTTCAACAGGAACAGCAAGCCAACGCAGCAGCGGATGATTCTGCAGTGGAGGAGGAGGTGGCAGCAGCACCAGCGAATGTCCCTTCTGCAGTAATTAAGAAGGTGTGTCAGATGTGGGAAGAGATTCAAACAACTGTTGAACAGACTCACCCAGAGAAAGCTGTAGTAGGCCATTGTCTTAATCTTTTCAATGACAATGTGATGCCTTACTACAGAGAGAGCTTGCGAAGAAGGGAAAAGCAAGCTTCCATGGACAGATTTGTGGTGAGGAAATCGAGCAGTGAGCCTCAACCAGGACCTAGTGGCACTCAGATAAAACGTCCCAGGGAGAGCACACCAGAAAGGTCCTCACTGCCTGATGTGATTATGGAAGGGGACTCCCCTTCCAAACAGTAACTCCTCTCCTCCTCCCCCCCTCCTCACCATCTTCCATACGCCTACAGCACTCGACAGCAAGGTAAGTAATAACTGGAACATAGTTTTGTAGGTTTATTTAGATGAATTAGGTAAATTAGGTATAAAAATTTAGTTTGATGTGGGGTTTTTGGGGTAGTCAGGAACGGATTAATTCATTTCCCTTTATTTCTTATGGGGAAATTAGCTTCGGAATGCGAGTTTTCGGAATACGAGGCGTCTCCAGGAACCAATTAAACTCGTAAACTGAGGTATGCCTGTATAATAATAATGAATCCTATACTCTATACTATTACAATCAGGTTGCACTCCAACACCATCAGAACTCTATCACCAGCTTTTTTTTTTTTTTTTTTTTTTGAGATATATACAAGAGTTGTTACATTCTTGTACAGCCACTAGTACGCGTAGCGTTTCGGGCAAGTCCTTAATCCTATGGTCCCTGGAATACGATCACCTGCCGCGAAGAATCGTTTTTTCATCCAAGTACACATTTTACTGTTGCATTAAACAGAGGCTACAGTTAAGGAATTGCGCCCAGTAAATCCTCCCCGGCCAGGATACGAACCCATGACATAGCGCTCGCGGAACGCCAGGCGAGTGTCTTACCACTACACCACGGAGACTGCAATTATCAAGAGACAGAGACAAGACTTATCAAGTGGTATCCTATCTTCTGGTTCCCCACCTGACACTATCAACCTCCTCAAGTAGATCAAGGCTACATACACTGTTGCACTATCAGCAAGAGAATATATATATATATATATATATATATGTCGTACCTAGTAGCCAGAACGCACTTCTCAGCCTACTATGCAAGGCCCGATTTGCCTAATAAGCCAAGTTTTCCTGAATTAATATATTTTCTCTAATTTTTTTCTTATGAAATGATAAAGCTACCCATTTCATTATGTATGAGGTCAATTTTTTTTTATTGGAGTTAAAATTAACGTAGATATATGACCGAACCTAACCAACCCTACCTAACCTTACCTAACCTATCTTTATAGGTTAGGTTCGGTTAGGTAGCCGAAAAAGGTAGGTTAGGTTAGGTAGCTTAGGTAGTCGAAAAAACATTTATTCATGAAAACTTGGCTTATTATGCAAATCGGGCCTTGCATAGTAGGCTGAGAAGTGCGTTCTGGCTACTAGGTACGACATATATATATATATATATATATATATATATATATATATATATATATATATATATATATATATATATATATATATATATATATATATAAAACTTGTACAAGGAAAATCAGCATGTGAATGCAATAACATATATCAGTATAAATGTTCCTTGATACACAGCAATGATCAACCGATCACCCTATCAGTCCTAGAACACATACATTTGTAGGTAATCCAGCCTACGACTGTAACTCTAAACTTCAGTATAAAACACTCCTAGACATAAGAATGCCAACAATCACTCACCTCTCGCTGCGTCTTTC